TTTAAGCATAAAAATGCAGAGCTGCAAAATGTTCTAACAAACTAACATAAAAACATTAAAGAGCTGGGCATGGTGACTCATGCCTGCAATCCCAGCACTCTGGAGGCTGCAGTGGGAGGATCATTGCAAGTTCGAGACCAGCCTGGGCTACAAAGTGAGCTCAAGGCCAGCTTGAACTGCATTAGCGAGACCCCATCTCAAAAAAAAAAAAAAAAAAAAAAAAAGAAAGAAAGAAAAAACACATTAAAGAGTTCAGAGTATCAAAACAGCTTACTAACCATGTATAGTGCCATTGCCAGCACTTGGGAGGCTGAATGAGAAGGGTAGATTACTAGGTTCAAGACCAGGCTGGACTACAAAGTAAGTTTCTATAAAAAAAGAAAAAAAAAAGTACTCGTCTATTGTTATTGTTTTAGGATTTTTATTTTTGTTTTCTTTTTTTCTAAATGGCTTACTTTTACTCATGTCTACCATTATCAGAAGTGTTTACCTTTATTTTATTTTTATTAATACAAGTTTTCGGTACATAATAAACGTATATAATGGGGAATTTTTACATTTAAATAACACATCTGTATTTTTTATCCCTTCCTCTGAAATTCCTCCCTCCCCATTTACAAAAGATCTATTTGCATTTTTTCTTCAATTATATTTTTCCCCTAAATCTCCTTTTTCTTTCTTCCCTCACCACTTCTCCGATATCTTATTCCTTTTCCCAGTTGAATAAATTCTTCCTACTTCACATGATCTGATCTCCATTTTGTTCATCATTTATAATTTGAGTTTCTCACATAATGGAAAACAATGTAGCATTTAAACTTCTGTGTTTGGTCTGTTTAACTTAAGTTTATGGTTTTGAGGTGTACCCATTTACCCATTTGTTTTTATTTTTTTAACAAAGAGTACTATTTCATTATATGCAAACACCATGTATTCTTCATTCATTCATCTGTTGACGGGCATATTGGCTGTTTCCAAGATTTAGCTATTATAAATTGTACTTTTATACACATGGCTACGCATGTGTCACTTTGGTTTGATAACTAAGTCTTTAGCAAAGATACCTAGAAATGGAATAGCTGAGTCAAATGGAACTTCTAGTTTTAGTTTTCTGAGAAATTTCTATACTGATTTCCATAGTGGTTGTACCAATTTACAATCTCACCAACAATTAAAAGGGCTCCCTTTTTCCTGCAGCAGGCCAGTGTTTGTTGTTGGCTGATTTCTTGATGATAGCCATTCTTTCTGAACTGAGATGAAATATTAGTTTTCTTTTTGTTTGCATTTCTCAACTATCCAACAGTGTTGAACTTTTTTACATGTATGTATCGGCCATTTGGAATTCTTCACCTGAGAAATGACAGTTCATTTGAGATGTCTATTTATTTAAATTGGGTCTTTATATTTTAGTGTGATCAATTTTTTGAGATCTTTATTACAGATAATAGTCCCTAATCTGAGGAGCTGGAAATTTTTTTCCCATTCTGTAGGTTGTCTCTTCTCTCTATTGATGGTTTCCTTTGCTATGCAGAAAGTTTTTAACTTGATGTGATTCAAGTTGTTTATTTTCTGAAATATTTTGTGTTCAATTGCAGTTGATCATAAAGTATTTCCCTATACCTGTGTCTTCAAAAGTTTTTCCTATTCTGTCTTCCAGCAATTTGTTACCATTTTAATATTTAGAACTTTGATTAATTTCAATTATAGTTTAGTGCATGGTCAGGAATAAGTGTGTAAGCTGAATGTTTGACACATGGAAACTCAATTTTCCCAGCACCAATTGTTAAGAAGCTTTCTTTCAGTGAACATATTTAGCCCCTTTGTCAAAGAAAAGGTAGCTGATGTGCTTAGAATTGTTTTGGAACCTTCTTTTCAGTTTCATTGATCATCAAGTCTGCTTTTTTTTGTTTTATTTTGTTTGGGGAGGTTTTTACCAATACCATTCTGTTTCCACCATGGTAGATTTGTAGTATAATTTAAAGTCCGGAACTGTGATAACCCCTGCCTTGTCCTTGCTGCCGAGAATTGCTTGTGCTATTCTTTTCTGATCCCATATGAATGGTAGGATTGTTTGGTCTAGTTCTATGAGGGATTGCTACTTTGATTGGAATTGCATTAAATGTGTACATTTTTTTGGAATATGGCCATTTTCACTGTATTTGTTCTACCTATCCAGAAATAGGCTACCTCCTTCCATGTTCTGATATTCACTTTGACCCCTTTTTTCAGAGTATTTTAGTTTAAAATGTAAGGGCTTTTACCTCCTTCATTAAGTTAATTACTAAGTATTTCATTGTTTCTCAATGCTCTCATAAAGTGTGGTTTTTTCCTAATTTCTCTCTCTCAGTGAGTTTGTTGCTGATGTATAGAATGCTAGTAATTAAACATTACACATTACAGACAGACCTATGATGTAGATCTTAAAAAATTATAGTATACTATTTTTGGGCATAATCTCTAATTGCAATTTACTTATGAAGCGTTATAAGAATTGGAAATAAATGGACTTCTAATAGTATGAAGCACCCAATTTTAAAATAATCATATTAGATCATGCTACATAGACATTTTGTTATTTTAATGTTTGCCTTTATGAGGATTTTGAATTTTAAAAGACCTCTTTAAGTGTGCTTATATGTAACTATATGAATTCATACAGTGTAAATTTTAAAAATCTTTAGGAAATCATACTGTTCAAATTGTTTAAACCATTTTTAATTCATAAACTTTCTTATACCACAGCTGGTCCTGCATTTCTAATAATACAATGAAGCTGTCATCCTTAAAAGAATGATAGTATGTAAAGAAAACTTGATGAAATTGTTTTGCATGCAGTTTTCTCAAGGACTTTGTACTGCCTGAAATAAATAGCTTTCAATACTCCAGATGGAAAGAAAAAGTATTGTTAAAATCTCTAAGTGTTTTAAAATTTAATGGCAGCTTTTCCCTTTTGGAACTTTTCTCTCTCTCCTCTATGCACTAGCACTGTCTCCCTAGAGTCAATATTTATATGAACAGCTATTTCAAATTCATGAATACAATTATTACCTTTGATAATGGCTGCCATATTCTTGTCATCAACACAGGGAAGAGGCAGATTTCCCCAGATGCAGTTTTCTATTATGCTTAATGGTATCATTATCAAAGAAAAAACTCAAAACAATCTTTTTCTACTAAAGATGAGAGCTGTGTTATAAGTAGAACAATATGAGCCCACTTGAGTGCTATTCATCACCAGTACTGTTTCTTTAGTCCCTTGTCTGCCTGACTAATAACAACACAATAGTAAAAGTAAACATTTGTTGCATGTCTACATACGTACAATACTACAAAGTTTTATTCGATTTCATTTTCTCCAATTTACCAAAACACACACACATATGTTTATACAATCACAGTGAATAAAGTAACTTACCAAACTTGGCAGTGCTTCGTGGATGGATTGCCCATTTAAGTAAGAGGCCTCAGTACCAACCTTATTTCCTTTTTATCCCCTTTCACCAGAGAAACCCTTGTTCAGATCCCTACTCCAGCTGTCTCATGAGCCTCAGATTCAAGCAGTTTCTCACTGTGCTGGCATAAAAACACAGTAGCGTTACCCATATATATTTTCTATACTATCAGCCTTGAGAAAACTACTAAATATGCCTCTTTCATTAGAGAATTATATCCGATATTAGTGTTTGGCAGTTGAAAGCAAATTAGTATTCTATTAGACAGCATAAATGAAGGAATGCTATATTTAGGGAGACGTAATGTCTGTAAATTTCTGTCATCATTTCAAGTAGAATTCTTTTGTCAAGACTGTGGCCATAGACAGAGAGATAAGTAGAGATAGATAGTTTGGGATCAGTGATTTGCACAAGCTAAATATATACTGAAACACTGAATTATAACCCCAAACATTATAGTGGTCATTTTTCAGAAGTGATTTATTACCCCCAACCCCAACTATCCTCCCTGTCATACTTGCCACACAGTCTTACTACCAAAACACAGAAGCTTGATTTTCATCTTGATTTCATACTTGTACTTCTCTTGAAATTTTTGGAGCTATGTATGACAATAATTTTAGCATATATGTATATAAGAGTTTACACATTTAAAATGATCACATATTTAAGGCAATGCCAAAAAAAAAGAGTAAAACAACAATGACCCCTGAAACTAAATTCAATGTTCTCAACTTGGGACAAGTTAAACACTGTCCTTAGGTGATATTTTCAAATGTACAGAAAATGATTTGTTGAGTGCTTTAGACACTTAAAATCATAGAGAAGTAATATTAAAAATCCAGTCATCATGAAGACTTTGCAGTCCCCTAGACCATTACCTATTGGGTAAGTACCTCCTTAGTGTTATTACTCTGTATCATTTATGTTCTTCCTCTCATAAACAGCTGCACTGAAGCTCATGCCATCAAACTTTTACTTACTCTTCTTTGATACAATCTCTAAATATACTGTAGTAACACTTCCTCAGCACCTAGTCTAAAGTCACTCTTTCCTGTACCACCCTTTGCGTGTTTCTTGATGACTACAGAATGCACTCAGATGAAGCATCCAATACCATCACCACCTGGATTATAGACTTCCTGCACATACTTAATCCAAAAATGAATTCTTCCTTTCATCTCACTTGACCTGTGTCCATCTTGAATTACTATGTCCACATTACCCTGACAGCACCAGTCATCCTTAGATTCACCCCTCTGTTACTAACCATTCTTTCTCAGATTCTGTCACTTATCCATTATTTCCCTACCCTTCATAGTTTGTAGATGCAGAGTTTAGTATTTTCTTCTATCAATATAATGTTTTGAGGCTGCTTCAGCCCTATAGATTTTATCATTTATTCCCTAAAGAAAGCAAAATTGTATTTGCAGTCTGGACCTCTTCCTTAAAAATCAAACAGATACAACCAATTTTACACTAAAAATTGCTTTTTGAATTCTAAAATCTACAATTAACATAAACCTTGAAAAACTAAGTTAATGAATTCCCTATCAAACTGTTATTTTAGGATTTTCTCATTTTTCAAGCTGTCATGGTTGATTTTTGGGAAAAGTTTTCAATTAGCAATAATTGTGTCTCAGATAAACTTCATTGCTTACAATATTGCCACTGTACAAACCTGGATTTTCTCATTTTTGTAAATGGCAATTGTTGTGGCTTGTGTGTAAATGCCCTTCCAAAGCATCATGTGTCAAATATTGGGCTTTTCAGAGGTGGCTGGTACTAGGGTGTATGAATATCGATTAAGAGTGTGTGACTAAACTAGTCCACTAATTGGTTTAGCACAGTTTTGGGTGAGGGTAATATAAAGGCTTCAACTGGATGTGGGTGGCACTAATTAATGGGCTGGCAGACTAAAAAAACTAAAAACTAAAGGGAGGTTCACTGCTTCCTGCTTACTGGCTCCTGTGCCATAGACTATTTCTCCTCTGCCATGCCACTCTGCCATGCAATCCCTGCCTAAAAACAAGCAAACAATGAATTGAGACCTCTACAAACTGTGAGTTAAAATAAACCTTTCTTCTTTTAACTTGAGTGCGTTAGGTATTTTGTCCCAGCAGCGAGGAACTAAAGCTAAGACAGTAATTATATTCTTGCATTTGTTCAAACATAGCATTTGTGTGTATATGTGTGTGAGTGGACAAAGTCACGTTTCTTTATTTCTTTTTATTTTTTGACAGTTTCCTGTCAGATTTTACTGGCATGTTTTAAATATATATAACGATCACATTAATCGTAGAGGATTGGCACCTATACATGATATATCTTGATTCTTTTTTCTCATTCTTCCACCCTCACTTCAACCCCGCCTTATTTACAACAGGTTTGTTTCCATTTCTTCAGACTTTTCTCATATTTTTTTTTACTTTTCCCTTCTTTCCTCCTTCTTCCTCCCCTTTTGTTTCCCTAACCATTTGAGCATTTACTTCCTATCTCAAAATACCTACTATACATTTTGATCCTTATTTACATTTTCAGTTTCTCACACATGAGAAACAATGCAGTATATACACATGTGGGTCTGATTTATTTAACTTAACAGTATGGTCTCAAGGCACATCCATTTACCTAGAAATGCCTCAAGCTTATCCTTCTCTATGGCAGAGTAGTAACCCATTATATTAAAAAACCACATCATCTTTATCCATCTACCAGTTGATGACTATTTGGGCTGTTTCCAAGATCTGGCTGTTAAAAACTGTTGCTATAAACATGGATGTGCACATATTACAGTGTATGATGCTATCAGTTTTTTTGGTAAGATACTAAGAAGAGGTAGCTAGGTCAAATGGAACCTCTAGTCCTAGTTTTTGAGGACTCTCCATACTGTTTTCCACAGTGGTTGCATCAGCCTACACTCTCACCAACAGTGGAGAAAGGTTCCTTTTTCCCTACATCCCCACAAGCATTTATTATTGATTGATTTCTTGATAATAGCAATGCTTCTGGTGTAAGATAGAGTCTCATCTTTGTTTTAATTTGCATTTCATGAATGACCAGTGATGTTGAACCTTTTTTAAAATGTATTTATTTCCTAGTTCCATTTCTTCTTCAGAAAAGTGTTTATTCATTTGAAATATCCGTTTTTATTGTGTCTTTAAATTTGGGGATTTAAATTTTTTTTTTTTTTTTTTTTTTAGCTCTTTACATCTTCTAGATAATAACGCTTTGAGGAACATATGGTCAAAGTCTTTTTTTTCCCCTCACTCTCGGTTGTCTTTTCACTGTTGATGGTTTCTCTTGCTGTGTAAAAGCTTTTTAATAAAGCGAGATCTTAGTTGTTGATTCTTTATGATAGTCCCTGTGTGATCAATTTTATTCATAAAGTCTTTGCCCACACCATCTCTTTAAGTTCTGTCTATTGTATCTTCCATAAAATTTAATACTTTTGCTTTAATATGAAGATTTTTTATTCATTTTGATATTAATTAAGTGCATAGTGAAATATATGGATCTAATTTTAATCTTTGACATGTGAGAAGCGAGTTTTTCCAGCACAATTTATTAAAGAGACTATCATCCTTCCAGTGAATGTGTTTGGCATCAAAGATAAGGTGGTTATGTCTAGAGTTGTTTCTGTACCTTCGAATCTGTTCCACTGATCCTCCAGTCTGTTTTTGTTTGTTTGTTTGTTTGTTTGTTTGTTTTTCCAGTACATGAGTCTTTTATCACAGTAGCGTTGTAATATAATTTCAGATCAGGGATTGTGATGCTCCTGCCTTGCCTTTTGGGCCTAGAAATGTCTGCTTCCAAATGAATTTTAGGATTGTTTTCTCTAATTCTCTGAGATAGGCTGTTGGAATTCTGATCAGAATTGCATTAAATCTGTATAACAATTTTGGAAGAATGACCAAGTCAATCAATGTAATACAACATGTTAACAGAGCCACGAACAAAAAAATATGATAATCTCAATAGATGAAGAAAAAGCTTTTGACAAAGTCCAACACCCATTCATGATAAAATCTCTACAGATAATTGGAATAGATTTTCTTTATCTCAATCTGATAAAAGCTATCTATGACAAACTAACAGCCCACATCATACTGAATAGACAAAAACTGAAAGCTTTCTGTTGTAGTCAGGGGTTGTGCAGAGAACAATTAGAATCAGGAGATGGAATTTATAGTTTTATATTATGATGTTAATCCAGAGTTAATACAAGAAAGTTCAGGGAATGTGCCCACAACACTAAAGACATAGAATATTCAGCCAAAGGCCTGAATCCCACAGCAGTGTCCTACATGAGTCCAGATGAAGAAGCCAGAGCTCATGACAATGCCTCCCACAAGTCCAACGGAGATCTGCAGCCCAAAAGAAGGACTCATGTCAGTCTCTTTTATGGATCTGTACTGGGAAGGCCCAAAGGCCCGTGGTAGAAGCTGGAATGTCTATGCCAGCGAGGTGAAGGAGCTGTGCTGTTCGGTTGAGGGTTCTTTGCTGCAGCCAATAAGTCACACTCAAAATAAGAAGCAGGGATGCCCTGAAGAGTACCACAGCCATCCTCAGCAACAGGGAGGTCCCAAGTTCCTCCGACGATAAGCATAGTTGAGTACATTCCAGGAAGCCCGAGTGATGAGTTCATCCTGGAGATTAAGTGTCACACATCTTCCCCTCTAGAGCCAGGAAGAGATGCTTAATATGTATGAACCAGAGATCCTCCAGGAGCACCAACAGCTCAAACAGCAACACTTAGTGAAACTCACAGCCTCAACACCTTGTTTCTTCTCCATGTCTCTATTTATGCTGGCAACCTTCCTCAAGCGGAACATGTACACTCAGCAGCATGGTGATTTAATTCTGCTGGTGTTGACCACCAGTTGTTAATCCATGACACTTTCAATCTAAATTCAGGTATAAGACAAGGATGTCCACTGTCTTGACTCTTACCCAATCTAGTTCTGGAAACTTTAGCCAGAGCAATTTGACAACAGATAGAAATGAAAGGAATAGTGCTAGGAAAGGAAAAAGTTAAGTTACCATTATTCGTGGATGAGGTGGTCTTCTACATAGAACACTCTAAAAACTCCACAAAATACTTCTAGATTTAATAATCAAATTTAGTACTGTAGCTGGATAAAATTTTACATTCAAACATCAGTAGCCTTCCTGTACATGAATAACAAACTCACTGAGAAAGAAATTAGGGAAACAACATATTTTAGAATAGCATCCCCCTCCCAAAAGAAATACCTAAGAATCAGTCTAATGGAGGAGGTAACAGACCTACTTTCAAAACTACAAACCCCCAAAAAAAAGGAGATTAAAGAGGACATCAAAATACGGAAGTATCTGTTGCTCTTGGGTAGAAAGAACCAACATGGTGAAAATGGCCAGACATAGGATCTTAAAGCAAACTTTGATTCCTTTGTTCCTGTTGCACATTTGATCTGATTCTTCACCAATTTGTCAACAAAATTTGTATCATGTGACCAAACTCCAGCTAATTTTCACCATTACTACTGCTGATATCTTGTTCTGAACCACTAGCATTTTTAAACTAAATTATTTCAAAGACTTGCCAGTCGCCTGCTTCTGACTTTTCTTTGTGCAGTATGTTCTCAATTCAGGCAGGCCAATTATTTAAAGTATAAAGTATTTTTCACTACTTACCTAGCCAACCCATGAAACAGATTGCTTTCTTCTGTGAATTTGCACTACCATTATTTTCCTCTTTTCAGTTTGGTTTTCTGTTGTCCAATATGACTTATTTTTTGAAGTAGCATAACTATTTATTGTATTTCCTGTGGTACCTAGAGCACCTAGGAATACATTACAAATAACAAATCAGAAAAATATACTAAGGATAGAATATAACCTTAGTGTTCTAAATGATAACATGTTAAATCCTTGGACTCCCAATTTCGTGAACAAAATACTAGCATATCAGTTCTACTGTAAAGATACTAACATACAAACATAATTAAAATGTCTTTAATCTCCTATGAATCAATAAACATAGGATATCTTTTATGAAGCTACTAAAATATATTTTTAATCTACTGTAGGTAACTTCAAAATCTTTTGTAACTAATATGGTTAAAGCTGAACATTGATTCTCATAAAACAGAAATGTTGATGATAACCAAATATGTGCTATCTCTTTGACTGTTTTTCTCTTGAAACCTATGCAGTTTCTGAACTAAAAGTAAAATGAGGCTTCATTTTCATTAATAACTTTTTTCTACTGGTGAGTATATTTTATACATCTTATATTGAGAGTATATAAAACTATGGTCAATCAATAAGGTTGAGTGTAATAGCTCAGGTAAAATTGATTAAATTGGGATCAAAAGGAACAAGGGGGCAGGCATACAGAACAGTGACTATTCCTGTGGGGGGTTGGGACGGTGACTCTTGGCTTTCTCAGAGTGACAGAGACCTGTTTAGAATATCAGTCCTTAGAATATGGATGCATTTGTTTGATTTTTTGTCGTGAGGCCTGGACCACAGCAGGAGGTGTCTGTTTTCTCCCACTGTTGGAGGGTATCTGTCCTTCTGCATGGGGTCCTTCCAGCACTTAGCCCTGTCTCAAGGCCTATAATATTTTTATCTAACTCAGCTTCCTGTAACACTAACAATCTCATCTCAGTGATTTTTAAAATGTCTCCTTTTATTCTATAAGCATTCAGCATTATTGTTTAACTGTAAGCCAATTGTAGCAGGACTATATAGAGAACCCTTCCTGATCCTTGTTGCAGTCTGGGAAATTTATATTTGTAATCCCATGGAAAAGTTATTGGAATTCTAGCAAACTATTTTCAATGTACCATTTCTGGTGCAACCTATAGTGAGAATAAAGATGCTAAGGCACATTTATAGTTGTGAGGAGCCAAGAGGATTCTAAGTCCAGCTAGGGTGACTGTTAACTGCAACAAAAGCCCTGATTCAGAGCCAAATCTGGGTTTTATTAATTCCTGTAGAAGTGAATGACTAGGGAATGAGTGACTGTGAGAGTGGTGGAAAGTATGTGAGTGCTGTGAGTCAGGTTAAGTAGGAAGTCTGAAATCACCTCTGCAATATGCAGAGAGAAGGATATGCAAAAAGAGTAATCTATCTCATACAGTTTGAGGTAATATCTAATGTTATGTGGTGGTGCTTCAGCTCTAATGTGTAATTTCTTATGCCCTGGGAAGTCATAGCCTCTTATCTTGAGGCGGGGTCTCAGCTGACAGCAGGGAGGATGGCTCTCCTGACCGGCTTCACTCACATTTTTTGGATGCCATGGGGTGGGGCAACACTGAACTATGGCTTTGCTGCAAAGACTGCATTCACATCAGCACCTTGGCTAGACCAATTTGCATTGCTTAAAGCCAATTGAAGGGATATGGAAAAATCCTTACCACCTCTGTACATATCAATACATGGAAATAGGGCCAGGTTTAGCCAAGATGGAGATAATTGCTCTTCTTTCAAAGACTGTCATCCAGGTGGTTCTCCACAGATTCAAATTCTAGTCAGCAATTTGTCACAAAATGAAAGAGGTAATGGTCAAAATTAACTGCTGATATTAACACTTCTGTTCCAGATACACCGAACGATTCACTGCCTACTTCCTACCTGGAAGCGATCCAGAGTTTTTTGTAAAACCTGAGACTGGAGAACTTCCTCCATTTTTTAGTGAAGGAATACTCATCTCTGTAGGATTTAAACCGCAAATGTACAGTAAGAAACACAAAGCAACATTAGTAATACAGGTGAGTTCTATAAGGGCAATAATCAGATATCCACTAAAGCACTAAATGTACTAACAAGGAAATGTTTCATTCAATGATCACAGATAAAGAGTAATATTAGGGCTGGGGATTTAGCTCACGGGTATAAGAGCCTGCCTGGCAAGAGTGAGGTTGAGTTCCATCCCAGGAACCAAAAAAATGAATTAATAACTAAAGTAATAATTGATAGAATTGTGGCGCGGCTTGAATTGTGGCGCAGCTAAAAAGATAAGAAGTATGAAATATAAATGACCTTTATTTTAAGAATGCGGGGAAAGACTCCTGATCCCCTGGGGTGCGGCATCTCCCCGGACCCCCTGGGGTGCGCCCCGCCCCCCACCAGGGAGCCTGAGGGGCATTAGGGATGTGATTGGCAGCCAGAGGTAAATTCCTAGGGGTGGGGAAGATAGAGTCACAGGTAAATTCCTAGGGGTGGGGGAGATGGAGCTCTTTGGTTTTGCCTCTAAGGCTTTACCGGCTGCAGTGTCCTGTCTGGGCCAAAATCTTGTCCATAATAATAATATTTCCAAAGTAAAAAGATATTTCTACTCGCTTATCTTGTTTCAGTTTCTCTTGGACTAGTAAAGTAATTTAAATATGGAATTTATCATGTTAGACCGGTGTCGCAAGGAATACTCCAAGGGCCTCGCTCTCATGTAAAAAAACAAAGGGGTTTTTATTATTCCGTGTACACTGGGTCCTCCAAACAGGTGGAAACGGAGAACCCCTTACTCGAGCAGGGCTGTGCCTTTTAAGGCCTAAAACCGCAAAGCAAGCAAGCATTGTTACAGAAGCCAATCATAGCGATTAGAGCAGAGCTGATGGTGAGCTGTCCTTAAGGGATTGGGTTTCTTAGTGGGGCGAGGGAGTGTCTCCAGAGAAGGGGTGGCATTTCTTAGGAACAGGCGTTTGTCCCATGACTGGGAAAGCAGCCTGTTTGTCTCAAATGGTCCAGAAACACTGGATCCTGTGGCGGTGGAGCTGCACATAGTTTCGAAACTCGCACCACAAGGCCTTCTGAATAGAAAAGTCTAACAGCAATTAACAACCTTAATTACCTTACTTTAGCACCACAACCGTTCTATTTGTAGAGGGCAACAATGGTTAGCATATCAATTAGGTAAGATTTTACAATTCTTTACAGAGGAGAGCATTGATTAACATATCAATCTTTTACCCAGGGGAAAAGGAAGACACACATTTACAGTTACAGGTATTACTATGATATAAACGAAGCTATTTTTGTGAAGAATGTACAATCTAATACAATCTGATGCAATTAACGCAATTTGTGACGGGGCTACCGGATAGGGAAGACCCAGGATGTCAGGAGCTATTACCTCAGGCCTTTGTTTTATGGCCTTTAGGAAGTTAAAACTTAACCTAGTTAGATTTGAAGGGAGAAGGGGAGGGGAAGCACCAGGTGGAACGAGCTTTCTTGGTCTCTTCAATCAAAACTTTTGTCAACACCAAGGGTACATATGGAATTTCTCCCTCTTTATATTAAGGAACTATGGAAGAAAAAATGACTAGAGTGAATTCTGTAGTCACATAACATTTTAAGTAATATACCCACTCAAGGATATTGTTGTTTGTTTCTTTGAAAGAGAGATTTTTTAACCTTTCATTAGGCATAGGATATTTTAAAAATGATAAGTGGAGAAAATTAAATAGAAGGTAAACTATAGGTTCAACTGAAAAAATGTAATGCAAAATGGATTATATACAGAAGTTTTTTAAGGTGATTATTTTACTAAGTTAAGGTAGATGATGAGCATAGTTTTGAAAACTTATGTGAAATGAAAAGTTTCTCTTTAAAATTTTACATATATTTAGAGTAAAAAATTTTAGCTGGAGCTAGGCGTTGTGGCACATGCTTGTAATACCAGCACGAAGAAGACTGATGCAAGAGGCTGGCCATGAGTTCAAGGCCAGCCCAGCCTATTTCGTGAGTTCAAGACCAGGCTAAACTATACAGCAAGACTCTGTCTCAAAAAAAAAAAAAATTTTTTTTTAAATAAATTTTAGGCTCAAAACAATTTTCCAGTTACTTTGGAGGATACACCCATTATTACTTTAATTTCAATAGCACAAGCACACCTACTGTTACCTGTAACACACCACTCTTGCTGCCACTGTAGCATACAGTAATTAAGAAGTGCCATAGGCATAAAGTTGTATTAGTTTAATACACAGAAACAATAAGGTTTTGAATATTGTTTGAGAAAATTAGTTCATCATTAGTTCACCATTCAAGAAAGTGTTCATCTCTCTAAGGGTGTGTATAACCTAAGTAATAAAAAAAAAAAAAAAATGCCCTGCCTTGCTGGATATACTTCATTACCTGAAATGATCATATATTTGCTTACTTACTGTAAGACTTTATTCTCTTCCAAAAAAAAGTAATAAGAACTAGAGAGTAATAAAACCCAAAATGTGTAAATTTTGTTGTAAAAAAGAGGGAAAAAAAGTGCTCTAAAGGATACAACTGCAAGTGTGTTTAGGGGTGTTAAATAGATGACCATATTAATGTTTTTGGTTGGATCACTGAACACAACTGTTTGCAGTCTCACTGTTTGAATATCCACTTTATATGCTTTGATACGGTGACTTGAGCAACTATCTCTAAGATGATAATGTGTAATCTATTAACTGGTGATTTCTGTTTTGTTTTTTTTTTGTTGTTGTTGTTCTGTATTACGTGTACCCTTACACCGCTTTGTTTTGTTTTGTTTTTTCTCTTTTTCCTTTTAAATAAAATTTAAAAAAAAAAAAAGCTTCTCTTAAAAGATTTGGAAATGAAAAAGATGTTCATTGTATCTAATATATATTGGACATTTCTAACATTAACTATTTAGCAAACTTTACCATCAAATTATGTACCTAATTCTCTGCATAGATCAAACAATTAAATTACTGATTGCATAGTTTAAGGTTTTTTTGTGAACGTATATGGTATTATCAAAGAAGATAATATCCTCAGTCTGAATTGATACAATTTGATAAATGTATGCAGGGACCAAAATCAGATGGAAATCTGTGTAATAGATTATTTGGTCGATTTAATTTGATTATGGAAAATTCCACGCATGTGTAAAAATGGCTAAATAATTTGCATGTACTTATCATCTAGGCTGTATGTAATCATGTCATGACCAATACCGCTTAGGCTATATACCACTCCTCTCTCCATTTTCTGTATTACTTTAATTAAAGCCCCGGGCATTGTATTTTTTGAAAATATTTCCTACAAATCACGAAATGGTAAAAATGATAACTGTGATAGAATTTTCTAATCTTAAAATTAATAATTCTATAGTATAAAAATATCAAATATTCTTTTACTGTGGAAAGTTCAGGCCAAATCTTTAATCTCATATTTGATTTATTTTTATTAGTATATGTTTGCATTTCATAGTGTTTATATTACTTGTGTAAATTTGATACATGTACCTAATGTTAGGTCTGAGAAGAAGGGGAGAGGATGGGAAGAGGGAGAGAGGTCCGAGGTCGAGGAAGAAGTAGAGGTCCGTGGAAGGAGTGGAGTGGACGGCCGTGAAAGTAGTGGGCAGCAGTGGCTTTATTTCGGGAATGTGGGGAGAGGCCGCCCCGCCAGCCCCGGGCGCAGCATCTTCCACTGCACCCGGGGCCGTGGTTATTCCGGGAACACAGGGAGAGGAGACTGGCACACTGGCCACTGGAATCTGGCGATCTTTTAGAGATACACAGGTATTTCATTGGCGCACAGGTTCTTAGGGATGGGGGTATAGGGTTACAGTGAAGTCTATAGGGGGCGGGGAGAGGCAGGAGTCCCCTAACTTAGCTGCAGCCTTTCCTGATTACAGTGTCCGGTTGGGCCAGCAACTCTTTCACCTAACATACCTTAATTCCTTTTTTCATTATCTCACTTTCCCCTCCACCCCTCTCACTCCATTTCTTGATTCCATTCCCATTTGAGGAAGATTTATCTTTTTTTTTTTTTTTTTTTTTTTTTTTGTAGGAGGATTGAACTCACAACCTTGTGTTTGACAAGCAGGCAATTACACCCTTGAGCTAAAGCCCCAACCTCCAGATTTATCTTTTATTTTGCTCTCCATTTATAATTTGAGTTTCTCATATAAAAGAAACCATACAATATCCAAACATGTGTGTTTGATTTACTTCCCTTAACATTGTATTCTCTTGGTGCATCCATTTTCCAGCAAATGATTCAATTTTATTTATGGCAGAGTAGTACTCCATCATACGTAAAATACCACATTTTTTCATTTGTTCATCTGCTGATAGACATATAGGCTGCCTCAAATATTTAGTAATTATGAATTATGCTGCTATATACATGGATATGTATGTATCATTAAAGAAAGTTTCAGAATTAATACTTATGAGTTCTGGAATGTCTGAAAAATACTGTTAACTAGAGACTTTACTGCATGTTCAATATTTTTACATGGGTATGTTTCCATATGTTTCTAAGCAATTTTAACCTGTGTATAAGATGTACGTAACTAAAACCACAAGCAAAACACAGAACTTATCTATTAAGCCAGAATTACCTTATGCTTATTATTTGAAGACATGTTTGTTACTATAATTACTGCCTTACCCTTGACAAACTCTAATCTTTTCTCCATTGTTTTTTAGTTATCTGATTACAAAATATTATACAAATGTAATCATGTGCTGTGTTCCCTTTGAAATTAACTTTTTATTCTATGTATTGAACCTTTGAAATCATAAGATCTACTGCACATATGAAACAAAATAACTTGAAAATCATGGCTCAAGTGATCTATTTGACTCCAAACCCCAGTTCTTAATTCCCGTGTCATACATACAGATCCCCATGATATACTGGAAGACAATTTTTTAAAAATTAAATTATTATCTAAATGAAAATTATTGTTTACATTATATTTACTTATTCATTTTTAGAAAAGCATTAAGTGAATATTAGCAACAGATTATCTTCATTTGCTTTATTTGGAAATAAAAAAGGCAGTTTGTAAGAACAATTTAAATATTAGCTGACACAAACCACAGCCATCATATAAGCAAGCTTCATAATTTTCCATTCAATTAAATGACATTTACAGTGATTAAAAACTCTTTCCCAATTAGTAAACAAGGCAAATAATATTAGCTTTGAGTGACTAACGTTAACTTATTCAGACTGTTTTATAAAAAGCAACATTACTCTAGGAGAGCTCCATAGGGAACGCAATAAATGTTAGATTTTAAAAATGTGAGACTATCAGAATTTCCCAAGATGAAACTTATCATGATTTATCTTTACAGCAATTCAATATTATCACTATATACATATATAGTACTATATAATATAGCTATATAGTAATATATAATGTACTTATTATTCATCTTTTTTTTTTTGTCTTTTTCCTTTTTATCAGTACCAGGGATCAAACTCACAACTGCCTGCTTGCAAGGCAGGTGTTTATGCCACTGAGCTAAATCCCCAGCCCCATATAATGTACTTATTGGGTAACATATAGTAATATAATATATGGAGTAATGTATAATTCATACCATATTTATATTTAAATGACCCTTTTATAACTATAAGCATAAAAAGACAGATGATATGTGTATAAATGCATTGCATCTAAAGAAATCTATTATTAGCGTGAAACAATGGGAAATTGTGTTATAAATATGTGTCTAGGTTTGTATTTCCTTACAAACAAATTCTCTAATAGGAATTCAAATCCAAGTAGCATATCTGTTACATGATTTCAAGAAACAGAGGTAGGAAAGTCAGGATAAGGAAAGCAAGTCAGTAAAGGATGCTTTATCAAGGCATCTACCACTGTGAATTCCTTGGGATACAATGTAGAATGCACAACTTTAAAATTTTCACATCTTAGGGAACCAGGAAGTTAGAGTTCTTATACACCATTTGAAATCATTCAAGAGCTGGAGATTTAGCTCAGCGGCATAAGCACCTGCCTTGCAAGCAGGCGGTCGTGAGTTCAATCCCTGGTACCGATAAAAACTGAAAAAGACAGAAAAAAAAAAAAAAAAGAAAAGAAAAGAAATCATTCAAATCATTGACTTAGAAATACTCCTAGACACTATTCCTACTCTTATCAGGGCCAGCATTCTGGGGTTTCTGTAAAATCCTTTCAAAGAGGTGCAGAAACTGAAATTAAAAGTTGAATCAGGCATTGAAATGGAAACATCTGAAGTGGGTGGTCCCAGACCACATCTGATAATTGATAATTATCTATTGTTTCCATTAATAGAAATACTTCTTTAACAATATACCTTTGGTCTGATTCAGAACATAAAGACACTACTGCACTTAAATATGAGATTCTCTCATGTTTAATAATTTGAGTTCTTTAGATAAAATAGTTAAGGAACATAGAGATAGACTTGGCACTCATTTGTAAAAATTGACATTGATTCTGTGATGTGTTAGTGATGAGGATGTATTAATTATTTTGACTGTGGCTTTTTATTTGTATTTTGGGAGATTGGGTGTGGAAGACATAGAACTATTTTTAACATCTCTTAGAAAATATAAATGAGCAATTGTAATATTCACTACAGGATTGAAGAAATGTAACCTTTGATAAAAATTTTAATTTTTATTTATTTTTTATTTATGTATTTATTTTCGGTACCAGGAATCAAGCTCATGACCTTGCACTTGCTAGGCAGGCACTGTGCCACTGAGCGATATCCTCAACCCTTAATATTTATTTTATAAAATAAGCTTATCATTAAAATAGCATGTTGAAAAAAAAAGAGCATAAATATTTTCCTTAAAGCATGTATACACATGAACATGCATTTGGCATCACTTAACTGTAAGATTAGAATCTTTTTTGTTGTTGTTGTTATTATTTTTTTATTTAAAGAGAAAAAAGAAAGGACATAAAAAAACAGTAAAGGGGTACAAGTAATACAGAATTTCAAGAAAAAAAATTACAGTAAGAAATCACTAGTTAATAGGTTACATATTGTCTTCTTAGAAACAATTATAAAATTATAAAATTAAATTAAATTAATTATTAAATTATAAAATTAAAGCATATAAAGTGGACATTCATACAGTGATATTGGAGACAGTTCCGTTCAATGATGCAACAAAAGCTCAGTAATACAGTTTTCCATCCTACACACTCAAACATACCTGCAGTTATATCCCTTAGTCCACCTTCCTTTCCTCTCTTTTTTACAATAGCAGTTACACTTTTTGGGCTTTATTACTCCCACAGTTCTTATTACTTTTTTTTAAAGAGATTAAAATCCAATGTGACTAAGCAAAACAGAGTCAGTTAGAACAGAAGGATGGGCATAGTACATGATGCAAAAATAGAATACCAGGTGATCAAAAGTGGTTACCATTGTGCCTCTTGCTATTTTTAAATTGAGTTGTCTATATCATCAGGTATAATAGAATTGATCAAAACAGTACAAAACAAGACCAATAAAACCTACAGTGGAGATCTTACAGGACTTCAAAAAAAAGATAATAGTCAAACCATAATAGACATCGTAAGAAATCTTATTGCTTTCAAAGTGGTTGCCTATACCCTCAAACTTGATACTATCAAACAAAATAGAATATAGTATAATCAGACAGAACAAGATAGGGAGAGCAATACTGGGTTTCAAATCAGGTTAATAGGAAAACAAAAAAGTTACTATATGTCCCACTATTTTTTAATTTAGTTTTCCCTTAATTAAAAAAATGAGAAAAAAATAGATTAATTTTAAAAAGGGGGGAGATTGAGATAAAAGAGGACATTGTAACAGAACAACACAGGTCAGAACCGAACAATTTAAGCATCATTGTGTTTCACTACCAGATAATCTAACATAATAGTAGTCACCATAGTACTGTCACCATAACTGTAAGATTAGAATCTTAATTAAAATACATGAAACATAGTTGGGACTTTAAAAGTGATGTCTTCTGGAGTAATAAGCTTCAAAAGTCTTTGATGTAAGTGTCACGTGAAGGTACAAGTCCTTTCTCATAGCTTCTATTTGTACCCACTAGGTGCAGGGTGTGGGCACAAATCCTTTCATGTAGCTCACTCATGTGCCAGGAATAAATACAAGTCCTTTCATGGAGCTCACATAATGGCAACAAGTGCCAGGCATAGTGCAAGCCTCTTCATTTATTTTATTCAACTGAATCTATGAAGGTGGTCACTTTTACTGGAAAAAATTTACAGTGATATATGCACAATCTGCAAACTCTGTTTTTGACATAGAATATCATAATATGAAGTAAAATGTCATTTAACTGAGTTGTATTATGCTTCCTCGTTTGGTCCACTTTTGAATTCTTGGCCTTTAATACAAAACTACTTCAAACAATTGGAAAAGGGGCCAACTATGACTAAAATAAGGCCATCATTGATGTGTAAGAAACTGCTGACTCAGTATCCATTGGCAGATATCACATTCCACTTTAAGTGTGGTATATTGCAATATGCACTTAATCTGGGCCCTATCCTGAATACCTTCCTGAGCATACATGTGTCGTAAAAATACAACAACTGTTTAATGTTTTTAAAATGCATTAAAAGACACATTGTCATCAATCTCCCTCAAAATATTGTCCCCCTTGCTTAAACACATTTATTCCATTGCTCTTGTCACTTTCTGAAGCAGTTTTGGAAGTTCCCTTTTGTCTTTAGTTGCACTGTTATGGCTGCTTTAATGTCCTAAATAAATTCAAAACATTTATCTTTCATTTCTATTTTGAATTTGGGGTAGAACCAGAAGTTCCTTGGTACGAGATACAGTGAATAAGGTGAATAATCTAATGTTTTATTTTATATATCTGCCTTTCTGTTGCATAATATTCAGCAGCAGCATTACGTTTGGTCACACCTACTAAAGACACTCATGGAACAGGACTTCTAAACTATACACAAAGTGGCAAGAACAATATGTATTTGAGGCACAGGGGAGTATTCTGAGGATTAGTGACAATGTCTTTTTTATTCTAATATTTTTTTAAAATTTAAACATTCACTATATATTTTGATTGCCCTTTGTACATGTTACAATTTTTAGTGTGAAAAACAAACCTACATAAAACCAGGTGGATTTAGGAGATTCTATAGAGGCAATGAGATTTAACATAAGTATGTTAAGGCATGAACATAAAATGGTATACTGCCTAATCAAATATGGCTTAGGAATTATGCCTAAATCCTGTGTATATATGAAAAAGAATGAAAAAAATTAAATAAATCCATATGTAAATTGTACTGACGGGTTTAGATTAAGATTGTCCTCATTGATCTTATGCGTCTCTTGGTATATTCAAAGGATTATATCATACACTTTCATAATCTAAAAAACAGCTAAACCTATTTTGCCAAATATCTCTATGGCTGCAATTAGGTGTTCTTGACTTTATCAGAGAGACTATTTCCATTCATTGTAGTTCATTCTGGGCATTATGTTGTATCTGTCAAATACGTTTCTTTTTACATCAAATGGATGTTCAATTCACCTACAGGGCTGATTTTTGGCTGAATGACAGATTTCCTCTTTAATTAATGGCTCTTAATTTGTAATAACAAAAGCTTTCTTTAAGTTATTTTCACATTAATTATTTATTATTATAGATGGAGTTTTAGTTATATAGCAGTCTCATACTTTATAAGGCAAATGAAGGGCCCCGTGATAAACTTTTTCCTACATTTTTCTAAATCTCTGAATCTAACATAAAATCTCTCTCTCTTCATTTACAGACAGAAGATACGTGCTGCTTGTATGAAATCAATGGGTTACCACCAGAACCCACACCTCTGATGAACGTAAAACCAAAAATTAATACTAGTAACAAAATGTATGACAGTATGCCCATTCGTCACCGCAATTTTATCCGTGAAAATGCTGAACTCATAAGGACCGGGGTGTCTTCTACCATTAAGGGTGCTCCTTTGGTGATGAAGAGAAAATAAAAAAAAAATTTCCAAATCATTTCTTGGTTTCAACCAGTATTGAATGTTTTCATATGACTCATTATAACCAATTATAATTGTTGTTTGATGTTTGAGATATTCCTGAGGATTAATAATTTAACAATATCAGGTCTTCTATATTTTCTTGTATTTTAAAATGCTGTTCTAACCAATCTCTAAACATGTCACACTTCATTTCTGAATTTTATTTTATTCAAATTGATTTAGGTTCCAAATATTGGAAAAAATTCACTTTTAGAATGGAGGAGTACATTTTTAGTAAAACTGACACACGATTTTAATGACAATAATATTTCAAGCACCAAACACTAGTCTTGCCATTAAAACTAAATTTATTATGTATGTTTTTGTATTTATTTGACTTCTAAAAAATTGTGTGTATAGTTTTTAATATGATGTTTTCAAACCTATACATTGTAGATTAGCTAATGAGCGAATTAATATGCACTTTACCTACCTATCTTGTGCCAGGCACTGTTAAGATGCATTTTCTTAGATATTTTCAAGTATGCAACACATTCCTATTAACTACTGTCACAATGCTGTACAATAGATGCCTAGAATTCATTCCTTCTACCTCATCGAAATTTTATATTTTACATCCTTTCACCAGTATCTCCTCTGTTTTCCCTGTCTTATGTACCCGGTAAACAGTATTCTATTCTCTACTTCTTTTAGTTCATCTTTTTTTATATTATGCATATAAGTAAGAAAATGTGATACTTGTCTTTTTGGGCTTGGCATATTTCATTTTACATAATATCCTCAGGTTCTTCAACATTGTCACAAATAACAGGATTTTCTTCTCTTTAAAGGCTGAATAGTATTCTATTATGTGTGTATTTCAAATATCAGTGCTATTGTTAGAACTTAATTTCTATGTAAATGTTATCATGAGTCTTTGAAATATTAATGATAATATTAACATGTATAACAAGAATTCACCATTTCTTATACATGATATTTGGAATATTATGTGCTATTTAGTAGGTAGTTAATTTAAAAGTCTATGCATTTGTGTACTTATCACCCATATGTTCCTATATTGCAGTTTTAAATAATATAGGTATAGCTCAAAATGATCTAGAAGAAAATTAGATGCGCTTCTAATCCCTGAGAAAGTAATTAATTGAAGTTAAAAAGAATATGTTGTCTGGGACCTATCTGTGAGGAGATATACCATAATAAATAGCTAGTGTGAGCGGCTTTAACACATTTTGACACAAAATGGCTGGCTCTGCTATATACAATCTTTTCATAAGTAAGAGTACGTCATTTACTCTTTTTCTACCTAGTGTCATTGTTTGCAAAATAAAGGAAATATATAATGACAGGGGTTAGCAAGCTATGCCCTGTAGGTGAAATCTAGCTATTTTTATACAGCCCATTACCTAGAAACTATTTTTACCTTTTTAAATGTTTAAAAAATTCAATAGAGGAATATTATGAAATAGAACAAAGTTAAAATTCAAATTTTACTGTTCATAAAAGTTTCTTTAAACCCAGAACAATTACTTGTATGTCTATGTCTATGGTTTTACCCTTTAACAACAAAATTAATTGACAGAAAACATATAACCGAAAAACTTTTTTATTCTCTAGCTTTTTTTAGAGAAAGTTTTGGGAATCAATGTATTAAGCCAAGAATGGCTTTTAGGAAACATTGTGGAGCTATTAATTGTAATTTTCTCAAGTAGTGCCAGCAGAACACATTGTGTGTTTAATTAATTAATACTGTTTCTAACCATTGAGGTAGCATGGAATCAGTATTCATTGTTTCTTAAATGGGCAGGAGCTTGGAAATTTTGTGAATTTCTGAAAGTCTTTCTGATTCCATAGCCCTCTGCTTTGAGTACGGAGTCATTGATCACTTACTTGTCTCTTCTTTTCACAGCTATGCTGTGAAGTGAGATGTACTATACTATGAAGATAGGGAGATAGTCAGTCTCTGAGCATATTTCTCACAAAGCCTTCATAAAATCTGTCAAATATATTCAGAGACTAAAGTGCCCTTTCCTGTGGATTTATGGAGAAATATTATTGTTTTATGTTTTGGTTTTTAAGGTAATGTATAATATTTCAATAATCTTAAACCTTTTATATCGAATGTTCTGAGGACCACAATTGCTCTGCTAACTGAAAAGCTCCAATAATTTAAATATTCATAATGGACTATATTTGGGTTAACTTTTCACAGTCACAGAATGAAGGGAGATTGAAATATTAGCTGACATTTCATGTTATAAATATTTCAAAATACTTAAAATTATTATGCTGGATTGTCATATTTTAAATATTACCCTGTATGATTCATTTTCTGGAAGCAGTGTCTATATATATGCAAAGTGACAGTGCAAACTATCAAAGAGAGTGGAATGGGGCAACTCAAGAAGACAAAACTGAATTGTGCATAAAATTCTAAAACCCATCAGAGAATGTACTTTGTTCAAATATGTTTTATAGCCACAAAGAGAATTCAAGGAGGTGCCATGTCTATATTCCCATGGCAGCCACTGTACCCTGATAGACTAAAACCTTTCTATCACAAGTGCCTGTGACTCTGCCTCTGTAGTAACTCTGGCCATGTGTGCATGTGTGCATGTGTCATTTGAAATGGTAATACTGGGGTAGAAGTGTTACAAAGTTAAAACCCCTGGGACCAGCTCTTTGTGAATTATGGATCAATAACAAATGCAACTTAACAGTTTTCCTATATACTTAGGAAAGTATACTATATACTATATAGAGCCTATATACTTATGCCCCTTAGGTGAGACAACTCTGAAAAGTTTTCTCTGTGTTCTCCCTAAAATTTCCAGCAGGACTGAGCTTCCATTTCCTATAGAGGTAATGTTAAGGACACATACTGAGTTAGCTATTTTCCCTTCTCCATTCCCTTATGATGTCTCTCACAATCACTTCCCAAGTAAACTATCTGCACTAAAACTTTTTTCTTAAAATCTAGTTTGAACAATACCGACTGTGATATTCCTGAAATTTGGCATAAAAAAAATATAAATAAATTTCTCAAATACAAACCAGTGGCAGGATGGGTACTAGACCTATGACTTATGTAGATCTGCAGAAGCTTTTAAATTTCATTATATTGTGTTGCTAAATCCCAAGGACATTTGCCTTGAATCTAAAGAATCAGCAGTAATTGAATCAAGAAAACAGAGGAATAACAATAAAAATTAAAATATATTAATATAAACCATTACAATCAGTTAAAAGATTCAACAAAACCATGACAATTAGGGTGGAGTGTCGCATGATTAGTTTTGGGAGCGTATCTTGGTACATCATGGAGACATGGCCATGTGGATCTATGACTGAAGCTTGGGCCTTTCTCTCATACCCTGCCTCTGCTTCCCATGAACTATGGTCGGCCACACACTTTTACAATCTGGCTTGGAGACTGCTGACTGTGGACTGAATCCTCTTAAAAGCTGAATCAGTTAGGTATTAGTTTCAGAGAAAGCTGACTAACACAAAATCCAAAAAATATGGGAGGAGGGTCATATATCTTGATAGTATGACAGACTATCATTATTTGAACCAGTGTCGACTTGTCCTTCCTGGAAATTTCCCAATGTCATTTTAAAGTACTAAATCTCTTTATTCTTTCTTTAGTTGTACTCAAAATAGTAAATGCTCAATACATTATTGTTAATATTTGGCAATAAACATATCAAAAAAACCAATAACATGCAGGATTAATTGTAGATCATGAGCCTTTCCTTCAGTATAGCTCGATTCTTGAATTCGATGAAATCAAGCCTCCCACAGATCTACTAAGTGAAATGCACAATTTCCATTTCTCTCTTAAGGTTACATTTTGTCAAAACTTAGCAATTCATTTCTTTAGTTATATTCAACCATTCTTTTCTAAGCTACTGCACCTGCCTTGTTCAGACATGTTTAGCTTACTGTAGTTTGTCATCCTCCAGTACTCTTACAGATTAATTTTTTTTCATATCAGTTATATTCACAAGCTTGCTGGTAGTTTCTTATTTGTTACAGAATAGGTTATCTTTCTCAGCTGGAAATGAAAGCATTCAACCTTCTGACTCCATTCAATTTTCCATCTTATTCCTGTCTGGCCTTTGGCTGTGTCAAAATCAAAACCAGAGCTTATGTCCTTGTGTACTAGTTAAATTCTGCACTCTTAGAAAAGTTTTATTTTCCTTCATTATAACTCATTCAGTTCCTTTTGTATACTTTTCATTATGTATGTTATATTTGAAGCAAATTTAGCATGTTCATCAACAGCCCTGAACAAGTAGCAGAGAAAGTATTGTAACATTTCCTTTCTTAAAATTTCAGGGTTTTTTCTAATTACCAAACACTTAGGGCAAGAAACAAGAATGTACATTTTAATATGTGCTCCAGGTGACTCCAGGGTTTACATGATAAGACAAAAATGTTGATCAAGAGAAGAGGGGAATGAACAGAAGTCAGAAAAAGAAACATTGAAATGGCAGCAAACAGATAGATGATGAGGTGGTATATGCCAGGAAGAAACAAGTTAGAAAAACATCTAGATACTGGTCCTGATATAGAAGAACACCTGTCAGGATCCCTACACCCATGGATCAAACACAGCAAGAAACAGGTCTTGGAGAACACACAGGAAAGCATAGGATCATTACCCCTTGGGAGACATGGAAAGACTGTAAGGAGTCTGATGAAAGTGGGGTTTGTTTTCTATAGTATTGGCAATTAAACCCATAGAACCCAGAAGTATATCTCCAGTCTTTTCTATTTTATTTTGAAACAAGTAGCACTAAATTGTCCAAGCTGACCTCATACTTCTGATCCTTCTAGTTCATTCTCCCAAGAAGCTAGGATTAGAGGTGTGTTCCACCACAACCAGTATGAGGAAGCTTTTGAGTTCAGATTTTCTGTAAATAAGTGATTAAAATTTATTGGCAGGAAGCAAAACTAACATTCATTTCAAGTTTATCTGAAATATTTTAAAGATTTGTTCATGGCAGCCTTTTTTAGTATTTTGTCCCTAAAAATATCTTCACTTTCACATAGTGCAGGGGCACAGACCTATATCCCAGCACTCCAGAGACTGAGGCAGAGAAGCTAAAACAATTTTGAGGCTGTCCTGGGCTCCAGACCAACCTGAGACTATCCTGAAACCCAGTGAGCTCCAGACCAGCCTGAACTACATATCTAGAACCTCTCTCAGAACAAAACAAAAAAACCTTCATTTTGTCCTTTCAAATTATAATTTTCTTTGATCTAAAATTCCAGGTTAATAATTATTTTGCCCCTTAGCATATTTTAATGCCTTTTGTTATTGATAATGAATAATCTGTTGCATGTAAAAGTATTAGCTTTTGGGTAAACTGACCTTTTAACATTTTGTAATATTTTTGCTGATTTTCTGAAATTTCTGTATCATGTATCCAGCAATGGACCTAATTATTATTAATAGAATCATCATCTTCACATGCTGCTTGGTATAAACTGTAGTACTAAGTGAATACTTGCATCTATCTTCAGTATTAGAAAATCATCAGCTTATTAAATATTTCTCACCTGCTAATTTTTTGCTGCTGTCTATTCTGAAACCCAGATCACAAGAGATTAATGCTTGAAGGTTAAGTGTAAACAGTCTCAGTAAGTTTTTTGACAGTATTAATTTCTTCTACATATATTTACAAACTTTTATCACTTTGCTTTATGGAAAAAAAGTTTTTAGTGTTATCTACCAAATCGATAAAAATCTATTCAGCAGTATTCTGTTTAGAGTTTATTGGTTTTGTTTTCTGTTTTGACATTTTTTCAATTCTAAAATTTGATTCATTTTCATATTCCTTTTTATATATAAATTCATGGTTAATGGTTTCTTGTACATTTCTTAAGTTTATGTTTTTCTCTCTTCAAGTATATCAATCATGTGTCTTATAAAACATTTGACACAGAATAAACATTAGCAAGCAATAATCCCCATTTTGTGCTGGTATTTATTTTGTTGGTTTTGTCTATATTTTAATTAACTATCCATTTAATTGACCAAAACTGTATGTATTTTTCCTGCACAACATGTTTTAAAATATGTATACATTTTTGAGTGGCCAATTTTAGCTAACAGACATATGCATTTATTCACATACTTACTTGTGGTAAAAGTGCTTAAAAAATTGATTGTATTTCTTAGCACTAGACTTCTTTATGCATTTTCAAATAGAGGATCAAAAGCTTAATTAAGCATTGTTTTTGTTTTGCAATGTTTTATTTTTCTTTAATTTTCTTGACTCCTTCCTCCTTTTAAAGTAGTTATGAGGCTACTGCCTTATTCAGACTTGAGCCTCCTTTCTGGAACAGATGTGAAGGATTTTCAAGAGCAATCAGTGAGCCTCAGGCAGCCCAATCCCATTTGTCTGTGTCTTCAGGCTTCCATTGCCTCCAGTGAGGTGGGAGGGAGGGGTCCTACGAAACACATGTTGTTTTTCCTCTAAAACAAAAAATAGTAATATATGAGTTGTTTTTGCTAAACAAGAACCACAGTACTGAGGCTTAACTGCAGTGTTGGCAGTTTGTTATAAATAAGTAGGTTTGAGGTTGCAGTTTGGCACTCATAAGGTTCACCATCTCTGGCCTAGAAATTCCATATAAATTAAAGACTCAAGCAAGTAATTCTTGGTACTTTCTCACCCTATTTTTGAAATCATAGCTGTTGGATTTCAGCAATGAAGCAAACTCCACTTCCTCATTTAAACAGATGTTCTCTCATCCTTCTTGCTCTACAGGAGATGAAACTGCAACTCCCACTACCTGCTTTGTAATATGTAACTTCTGCTCTGGGACAATCACTGCCCCCTTTTTTGTTTCTGGTTTATAAAAGTGTTCCTTGTCTAAGTCTCTTTCTTTTTTAATTTTTATATTTGTCATCTTTCTTAAATTTGTGGAGCAAAAAGATGTTTCCCAAATAAGAATCATGCTGGTATTTTGAGTTAGTTTTACACTATACATTCCATTAGTGATTTTGCCAATGTAATTATTAAAAAATGCATGTGAGTAAAAGGGATGGATATGCTTAAATGAAACTATGTGTGAAAAACTCATGGTGAAATACAATATTCTTTATAATTAATATACACTAGTAATAGGAAAAAAATCTATCCACTTTCAAGTGAAAATAGCTATTGAGATTCCAGAGATTTAAATGCTAAGTTATAAAGAGTTATTAAGTCCTTTTGGCTCCGTTTCTGGAGAAGATTAGAATTTAAAGAGTTATATTAAAACTTTTTCATTCAATCATCCAGTTAAGAGTATTGGTAATGTTTCTACTTCATCAGCTATCACTAAGAAGAATCTTAAAGTCTTGATTTTAGGACTTGCTAAGTAATTTTTATATGCTTTTCTGCCAAAGTAATCACATTCTTATTAAACATCAAATTGTCGAATCTTTACTTTTTTTTTTTTTTTTACAAACGAATACATCCCTGAGTGAAATTCTGAAGTACACTATTTTTATTAGTAATTATTTGCAATACAGAAAGTCTTTGATTTATAAATGAGTTTTGTTTAGGGAGAACATTCAAAAGATGGATTCATTCATAAGTCCAACTCATTCATAAGTGTGACAAAATGGCTTCCTTGACACAAAATATCACATGTTCTATGGTGTTGTCCTTGTTCTGTAAATTGTACCAATGGTTGAATGAGTAATGTTTTAATTGTGAGACATCTATTGTCTTTTTGCGTCAGTCCAATCTCTTTATTGGTATCTCTTTTATATCCATGATTATTGATTTGCACTTCCTAGCAGTATCTTCTACATCATCACTGCTTTTCTTCTTGTTTTCATGCATCTTAAGCTCTCATTGAGCACTGTATGACTGTAACCTGTTGCACTATACAGTAAGCATACAACAGCACAGTAATGTCAATGTCCGGCAGACATGTGAGCTGATTCCATGATGTGTTCCATCCACAAATGTTCGTATGGTGAGCTCTATGGTATCTGTGAAAGTTTATAACTCAAATATTTATAATTCAGTGACATACTCAAGCCTATTTTTGAGCTTTAAGTAAAAATATTCTTTTAAAGGATTATAATATAAAGAACTTATTTACAAGAATCTATCTATATCCACCTCTGTAAGGAAATGATTCTTTCCTCATGTAGGACAAACATTTTTAAATCTAAATTGAGATAAATTAATGATATTTATGCAAGTAGGACTACAATCACATTCACAGAGAGGTTAAAGATTATTTTAGCAAATTGAGATTACGGATACATTCATTCACTCTACTCAGCTTCAAGGTAGTATGGTCCATGTCAAGTACCACAGATAGAGAATCCTGTGTCTGCAGGCAAGAATTTTTATTAGTTAAAAACACTTACCTAGTTAGTTATAATCAGGCAGGAAGAAAGGGATAGGGCCTAAACTACAAAGGGTTATTACAGCAAAATAGCACACATAAGGAATTAGGAACCAGTTGACGACATAAAGTTAGTTAAATTTAGAAATGCAAAAGCGCTTTCCTCTGCACGCCCAGCACAGGCCAAGAGAACCAGGAGATTGGCCTCTGCCTGCTGGGCAGCGCCATAGGAAGGCCCTTTCCTCTGCATGCTGGAAAGCCCTTTCCTCTGCACTCAGTGCTGGCCAAGAGAATCAGAAGATCTATCTCTGCCTGCCAAGCATCACCACTTGAAGGCCCCTTCTTCCATGCACCCAGTGTGGATTGAGGGAGACAGACAGATCCACCTCTGCCTGCTGTGTGCCACCACCAAAGGCCATATCCTACAAGTGGCCAGCATGGGCAGAGACAACCAGCAGACCTACCTTCACCCTCGGGGAGCTGCCACCAAAAGGTCCTTCTTGCAGGCAGGCAGGTAAGCCCTGTGCATCCATAGGCCACCTTTGGAGGCCCTTGGCTCCCTCCAGCAGCCACCACCCACTAGCAGAATCAGACAAACACACTCTTACTTGTCTGTTGCCATTGTGGGAGGCCCAACGTAGACACAAAAGGGTGAGAAAATCAGGCCCACCTCCATGCACCCTGATCATCAGTAAAGCAATGGTGTAGCTGTGTAGGTCTAGAGAAGCCCGGTCCATGCCCTGCTATCTCCCTGTAAATTTGGAATTAGAGGAACCCAGGTGCCTGTTTCATCCCCCTACACTACCTAGTGGCAGGTAACATGGGAAGTGCCTGGGGCCTCACAACCAGCTTGGTTGGAGGAATCCAGGAGAATGTCAAGACCAAGGAGCAAAAGGCACACTGAGACCTCTAGACCACACAGAATAAGTCTGGGAGATGCAGTCATGGAAGAAAACGGAAGTCACACATTTGAAAACTCTGAGAGATAGCAACTGAAGTAAGGAAACGATATTATGAGATTGTAAAAGCAGTCAGGTCAGAAATAATGTCTCAAGTAAGAGAAGAAATCCCAAACATACTGAAAGACTTGTTCAACAGGTCTAAAGAAGACAGACAATAAAGAAGAGCAAAGAAAAATGATGGTAACCTTGAATGACTGTAAAAAGGAATTATAAAGCATGAAACAGATTCAAAAGAGATGCAGGAAATTAAAAATTCAGTCAAAAGCTGGCAAGCCTACTTGAAAGAGACTGAAGATATTTCAAACCTTAACACAGGATTGTAAAAGGAAAGATCTCTTAAAAAAACACAGAATCAGGAAATAACAACTCAATGGTTGCAAGATGATAAGAAGCATAATGTAAAAGTGATAGATTAGGTGAAGAAGCAGGGGTCAACACAAATGAAATTAAAAGGATATTTACAGAAGTAATAGATGAAAACTTCCCAAACATGGAAAATGGATCTGGCATGCAGATAAGTGAAGTATATAGGATTCCAACTAGCCATATCCAAAGTAAATCTGCACCCAAACATATAATAAGATCCCAGAAATTCAGCAAAAGAATAGAATATTAAAAGCTGTTAGAAAAAATAGATCACCCATAAAGGAAAACCAGTCAGAATCACAGCAGACTTATCAACACAAACAATCAAGTCAAGAAGAACTTGGAGTGATGTCTTTCAAATCCTGAAAGAAATCAAATTCCAACCCACATTGATCTACTCTGTAAAACTAGCTTTCAAAATTTACAGAAAAATAAGATACTTCCATGATGAAGAACAACTAAAGGAATTCATGACTACCAAACCAACCTTAAAGAGAGTGCTAGAGGATATTCTAGAAAGAGACAAAGCTGACCATGGTTATAGGAACAGCAGCAGAGG